ATCCAGCCGCTGCTGAATCTGACCAGCAGTGGCTGAATCAGGATGCCTGGGGCAGAACAGCTGGGGTGCTGCCCGGTTTGTCTGCAGACCAGGGGGACGGGGAGGGGGGGGCAAAGCAGAGCCAAGCCTCGGAGCGCGTGGGCAGCGGACAGCCCTGTCCGCTGCCCACGTGTTCCGCCACTTTGCTTCCTCTCCCTGGTCTGCTGGAGACCAGGGAGAGGAACCCTGTTCGTAACTGCGGATCCGACATAAGTCGGATCCGCGTAACTCGGGGACTGCCTGTACTTAAACTTCATTGCTCCGCAACTTCCTTGTGACAGTAAAAATTACTATAGAGTGGGGTGGGGGGAGGCAAAGTCTGAGCTTGCCTGAGTCCCACTACACAGATAAGTGGGCTGGGGCCAACGGCTGAGCCCCACCAACCCTGACAGGTGGTAAAAAGTGAAGCCCAAGGGCTTCAGCACCAGACAGGCCTGTTACCTGAGCCCTGCGGCCCACGGATGTAGTTCTCAAACTTAATGTCGAGGGCCCAGCAACTATTAAGCCAGCCCTGGTGGCTCCATTAAAATAGGGCCTGACACACAGTATGAGAACCCCTGCTACAGGAAACTCATCTGTGTCACCAGCATTTTAATTTTCACCTAAGCACTGCTTTAATTTTATAAAAATGTTCTGCACATCATAATTGAATATGGCAACACAGATGGAAAACTAACACCTTTCCCTGAAACAGTTTTTTAAAAGAAGTGTATTGAAAGGTTCAGGGCTAACACACATAGCCCAACGAGGGACCCAGTGGGTATGCTTTTCAAAGATGTCCAACAGGTTAATACATACCATACATAAAATTTCAGAACTGTCAGTTCTCGGAAAAACTTCTAGCTCTAAGCCAGATTTTATTATTGCTTTCATTATAATATTTCTGTCAAGCATAGACAAGTTTTCCCTAGACTGCTTTGATAGTTTAATGGAAATTCTGAACTATTTGGAAGTAATTGCAACAGAAGCATCAGCTGAGCATGAATATGTTGAATTTTTCTACACTTAAGACGCCCACAATAAATTTAAAAGCATGTATTCACATTATCTGAACCATTAAAAGCCATGTGGGTATAAGAGCTTTGGCATTGTAATGGTTTCTTAGGGTATTACTCTATACATATCCAGGTTTTCGGCATGCCTGCATGATCGTATGTATCTGGTAGTGATAATTAAGTGATGGTGGCATGATTCTGAAGAGGTAAAAATACTCCTTTAGTATGATTTCTTTTTATCTTTCATATGCCAATACAGCATATTAATCCTATGACAAGCTCTCCCCACCCCCTCAGGTGCCACCTGGAACTGGGGTATCACTGAGCCCTCTGACCCACCAGCCTGGGCTTCTTCTCACATTGTGCTGCAGTCCTACTTTTCTACCAGCATTGACACAAATAGGGACAAACCCAACTACTCTCTGACCATGAACCAACAGTAGAAAGTCTAAGCCAAGGTAAAACTCAACTGCCATTCCCCCAGCACCTACCCCCTCTGGAGCATAAATCTCAATTTATACCATCTTGCACTGCACAAGGAACTGTAGTGTGTAAACTCATAGAGTTCATCCTCTCACCCCAATGTGGAGAGGAATTTGCAACGGTCTTTGCCTTGAGTGCCCCTTAAGCTAAAATTACCCATGCCCTTCACTCCAACTAACTGGTTTAGACAGAGCAAAAAGAAGTGACTATACATGATAGCAAACAGATCAAAACAGATAACTAGCAAATAAAGAAAACACAAACTAAATCTCAGATACTAAAAAGATAGGATATGAATTAGCAAACTCTCACCCTGGCTGATGATATAAGAGGTTGCAGATTCTTATGGGATGAGCTGCACTTACCTTTCAGCTTTGAATCCCCAGGTTTTTCATAGATGTCATTCTGTGCCTTATATATGTTATGCATATGGTGTCAGCCCTTTATTTCATCGGTTGGTTCCTAGACTGGTTTGTGGAGAAACACTGAGAATCCAAGATGGAGTCCAGAGACATGTTGTCCAGTCACATTCACATGCCCTTGCAGTGTTGCAGCAGCCATTGATTACAAGCTGGCCAAATGTACACAGAAAGGTTAAGTTTTTTGAAGGTCCATTGTCTTTGCTGATGCGCCATCAGCTCTGACTGGCTTTTTCATTGTTGTACCTGAAAGGCTGGCTGTCACCCAGAATAAGCATGATTGAAATATAGATACACAGTCAATATTCCCATCTTCAGATACAAAAATGATCCATGTGTACAAATAGGGTAATCATATTCAGCAAATCATATCTTTCCCAGTGACATCTCACATGATCCCTCTTTTACAAAAAAGCATCATAATGTTGCCATAATCTCATTCTCATATGTATAATATATGGTACTATGTCACAAACTCTTTACCAGATCTATATGGTATTCCTCAATATTTAGTCAGTATCAACCAAATGTGTGATAGTGATGAAACATCAAAGCCTCCAGACTTTCATATATTGTCTATGAACTTATGGTTATGGTGTCCAAAGTGCTAAATGGTGGTGCTTCTAGACATGAAAAATGTATATCCTAATATATTGCCATCCTTGGTATTACTTTGTCACTTAGAGAAAAACTGTACAATCGGAAATATCAATAAGCAGCTAATGGAGATGAGATAAGATGAGAAAAGTTAGTTACAAAACTATTAGAATCTGAAAAGTGAACAAAACATTTAAAAACTCTTTGCATCAGTGAATGAAATAAGATGGCATATCTCCTGTGGCATCTTTTTGTTTTAGTATATTATAAGTTGGAGGAAATAACAAAAATACCTTGGATGAAATCCCGGCCATAGTGAAGTTTTACCATTAACTTTGATGGGCCAGAATTTCATCACTTATGAAAATATAAACCATTCAAATGATCATCTAGCACTGGCAAAGAAAGGGTGGCGAGTGGGTGGGGAGGTGCCAGTGGGTAGGCTGAGTGCCCCTGCAGCCCTGGCCTGGCCCTGGGGAGAAGATCCGTCCTAAGTGGGTACAGAAGAACAAAGAGAATAAAGCATTAGTAAAGGCCGATCTTAAATCCTGTGTCTAGTCCATGGATTCTATTTTAGCTCTACTGTGACATATGCTGACACCAGTCTATAATACTTGTATTACCATGAATAATATTTTCCTAGAAAATGAAGGCACTAAAAGTAGAATAGACCATTACAACAGCCTTCTGCAGTATATTTGTCAGGTGCGCTGATGCCATATTCCAAATATTACCTTGAGCCCTTGAATCTATTTGCCTGTGTTCATTTTTCATGAGAACTACTGTGCTGCTTTGGAAAACCTTTATTACTGTTTCAAAATATTTTCAAACTTTGCAGAACATTGTACATCCATGGTCATACAAAGTTGGATTTCACGGTCTGGCATACTGCAATTGAAAAAGCAGCAGGTACAGATGGTAATGCCTTACAAGATCAGCAGCTCAGCAAAAATGACGTTCCTATTATAGTGAACAGCTGTATAGCATTTGTTACACAGTATGGTAAGTGCAGTAGAGATTTTATTCAACTCGCTGAACTCCTAAGATCATTCGTATAATTTTGAAGAAGCATCTCTATCAGATTGCATTGAATGAGTTTGCGCTACTCTATATAGAGCCTGTACTTTTTTATTAACCCTGTCACTGCTTTCAGTGGGTGCTTTCTGTGGCAGTAGTTTTTGATGTTCAGTGCAACATACCTGATAATATGTGAAACTATGGGAAATGCAACTTGAACATGCTGGCAATCCATGCATCCTCTTTATAATTTTATGTTGTGGCCTTTGGTCTTAACTATGCAGTGAATCAATTTTTCGGCCTCATATGGCAGGAAATCTTCTGCATGCAATTGTGCAAGCTCTCCTCAACAGCTGGTTGAGCCCAGGAAGTGAACAAAGTCAGCCAGGAAGAAAGAGTTGGCAGGGATTCATTAGCACATGTCCTTAGAAATCTCCCCAAATTGGGATCCAGCTGCTGATCCCTCCCTGACCTCTATTACCACCTGGCAGAACAGCCAAAGGGGGACAGATGTCTGTCTTCTGCTAAGATAAATCCCTCTGGAGCAGTTTTCTGTAGTGGTGTAGATGATGGTATGCACGAATTTTCACCTTTTGAACCACTGAGAGTGACTCAAGCCTTGTGTTCTGAAGGGCTATATACATATTAACCCTCTAAATAAAGACATGCTTCCAGAATATTACTGCATCTCTGGCCTCTGTCAGTATGAATAGGTTTAATTAAGAATTACTCACACATTTTAATATTAATCTCTTGTCTAGCTGAATAACTTGTTTTTATAATATTGTAACATTGTCTTATGGTAATCCGTGGTATCCTGAAGTGTGGTGTTCTTGGCTAAAACCAAGAACAATTATTTGCTTAATTATTTTTTATTCATTTGCGAGCTGAACAGTTTTTATAAATAACATTTTATTTTCCCAATGTTGAACTCATACTGAGGCAGGAGAAGTGTGGTGCTCTAATTATAAAAGAGAAGACTTGTTTAGGATAACTCCTTGTTTTCAGACATTTTTAACTTTCTATCAAAAATTAGCTTCAAAGTTAAAATGCTTGTTCTCAGCTCAGAGGGGTGTAGTGTCCTTTTCAATGGAATGGTTATAATAATTACTATTCTGACTGTGGGAGAAATAAAGCGTACTATTTGAAACTCTCATCATATGCTTATTTCTTGCTAGCATATTACAGTGCTTTTTACTTAAAACCTGCCTGGAAAAGGCATAAATTGTCATATGTGAATTTACCAGGCCTCACAGCCAAGGTTAACAATGCAGAACCACTATCAGATAGCAGTGCTTTTAGATAGCACAATAGAGGTGAGTTTGAAGGAGAATGTAGTCTGGTGATTTTCATGGATTTTGACAGAGTTCTCTCCTTACATAAAAGGTGGCATGGAAAAAGCAGGGATGTGTGAGTTGGAAACATATTAGCTGGCAGTGGAGCTGGCATGGTTGGTAGCATTTTTAAGGAGAAGCAAAGGAAAAGAAGCCTCTATAAAGAGAAACAATTTTAAACTAACTACACATACAATGCTGTCAAATGCACATAGTTAATAAACTTAACATAAAAGGCATTCCTAGTCTCTTTCAGTGGTGGTAGTTGAAGGTAATGGTGACAAAATAGTGTTAGTTATGTAATATTTTAAATTTGCAGTGTCTTTTCCAGTCGACCCACAGAAAAAATGAAATTGCCAGTGGCTCCCTTGTGGTGCTAGTGTCTGAACTTGCCCACATGAAAATGAGTGAGCAAATCAGCACTACCATCATTAAGGCTTCCAGAATCAGACATCTCAGACTGAATATACACACTGAAATCACACCTTTGAATCCCAAAGGTGGCTCAGTTGATCACTGTGGGAGGGATAGACATACAGCTATGTTAAACTTGAAAGAAATTAACCTGGATATAAAGAGGCAGTATCCTTTTCTTTTGTGGCCTTTTTAACACGATTATAAGAAGTCCACAAGTAATTGTTGGAATTTGTAATTTTAAACTTTTCCTGAAGTTGTGATCATAGAACAGCTGGGCATGTCTACACTAGGAAATTGTTTCAAAATAGATTATTTCTAAATAACTCCCGAAATAACAATTTTGAAATAGCATGTCCATACTACAGGGAATCCTCAAAATTAGTCTGAAGCAGGCTCTCTTAATGTGGATACGCTATTTTAACTGAGAGCCCCAGGAAGCAGTGGGGAGTAATTAGTTGGAATTACTCTGGGGTGTAGTTATTTTGAAATAGCAGCAGTGGAGCATCCATACTCCCGCTATTTTGAAATAACTATTCCGAAATAAGTGTTATTCCTCGTGGAAAGCAGGAGTTATTTCAAAATAACGGGCTTGGTATGTATGGATGCTCTGCTTGTTATTTAAAAATACTGTAGACCAGGGCTTAGACATTAATGAAATGCACTAGGAAGGAGGCCTATGTTTACTGTAACTGGTTTTGGTTGAAACAAAAAACACATCAGCAGAGGGAACGTCTCCCTGAAGCTGAAACGAATCCAAATGTCAGATGATGGAAAATACCGGTGCTTAGTGAGGAACCCAGAGTGGACCCTGGAATCTGCCACTGACCTACAGGTGGCAGGTGAGACATGGTACTGAGTGGGTGGGGAGGGGGGGGGGGGGGGGGAGGTAAATGTTTGTGAGCTAATGATATTAGAGGTGATAATTGGGGAAGCTATCTTTGTGATGGGTAAGGTAATTAGCGTCCTTGTTAAGACCTAGGTGTAAAGTGTCAAATTTAAGCATGAATGACAGTTCAGAGGATTCTCTTTCAAGTCTCGTCTTAAAAGGTCTTTGAAGCAGGATGCAGGCAATCAGGTCGTTGAGACAATGCCCTTTCTGGTTGAAATGGCAAGAAACTGTTTTTTCTTTGTGATCCTGTCTAATATCTATTTTGTGGGCATTGATTCTTTGGTGAAGTGTCTGAGACATTTGTCCAATGTACATAGCAGACAGACATTATCAGCACATGATAGCATAAATTATATTTATGGATGAGCAGAAATATGTGTTCTTGATCTGATAACTCAATTGTTTAGGTCCAATAATGGTTAAATAATTGGTTGTGCTGGTCAATTTTGTTTAAGTAATAATGTTTTGATGTTAAGATAACATTTGATTTTTCCTTTTGTTTTTGTATTTAAGGCTTAGGTAGCAAACATATCTACTTAAAAAATGGTGATCCATCCCATGTGAGTGAGCTACTAGAGAACTTCAAAAAAGATGCAAGAAGTGTTAAACTGAGAGCTGGAACACATCAGCTAGAGGATGTGACTGATGTACTGAAATGTTTCCTGTCTAAAATAGATGATGCACTTCTCACTAAAGAACTTTATCCATTTTGGATTTCTGCACTAGGTAATTAATGCAGAACAAAGTAAATAACAGGCTACTTGATAGCTCAGAAGTAACATTTTAGAAAAAGAACATGTAAATTTTAACTCTTATTAACATTTATCAGTACAAAATTGTGTGTGTGTGTATATATATATACACAGAGCAAATAATAGATTATTGAATAATCAATAAAAGGATTCTGTATATATTCTTACAAAAATCACTTTCAGAAATTATGGATGAAATCCCAGTTTTATTGAAGTCAGTAGCAAAAGCCTTCTGTCAGCCGACGGTCAGGGCAGTGAGTCCCTTATGACCGGCTGAAGTTCTTTTAAATTGTGCTTGGTTCTGTTACAGCAACTGAAGGAGTCAGGTTAAAGCTTAAACAGTTACTATTTTATTGTTACAGGGTAAACTTAGTTGTTAAATGCTACTACTGTGTTACAGATAACACAGACACTACAAAGGACAGGACAGAAATTACACTAATAAGTCACTTACAGGTACCATGAAACCCTTTGGTTCTCTGAGCTCTTATTAAATGCATGCAAAATAGACACATAGCAGGTATATATTCTCACCCCTGCGTTCCAGACTTGGCGTGGCCAGCGTCTTTCTCTCAATCCCTCGGGAAGAAGTAGGGCGAGGTTGGGCGTCCCACAGACCTCGGGAGACAATCAATACCTGCCAGCAGGTATAGATGATTGGAGCTCAAATGGGGTGGGCGGCTGAACCTCTTTTATACCCCTTGGGTCATGTAGACTTCTTCCTGGTCTCAAGTGGCCAATTAGGAAAAATGGCTTTGAACACCAAGTTTCCCACGAAGGGTGCAAAGCATAATTTACACCTGGGAAAATGCAGACAATGGGCACCTCTGGTATGTGATGGGCGAAGATTCCTCTCCTGGGACAGTGCAGGCGTGTCAATTACTGGTACTAGCCATCAGGGCGACGGGAGGCCCCGGGTCGTCAGCTAGCCCATTTACTGTCTGGTTTCTGTTTATGGTAGAGTCAGGGACAGGCACCACACCTGCGTTCCCAGGGCATCAAAGGCTGACTGCCTTTCTCTTGCTCTCGGGGGGAGGGCAGAAACCAAGATGGGGTTCGTGTCTGGCTCCACCATGACAGAAAAGTTCTGCCTTTTAATTACAAATTTATTTCAGACACTAAAAAGAAAACCAACTCTTTGATTCTTGGTAGTCTCTTTATACCATTACAAAAAAACCCCACCTGAATGTTAACTAGAAACTTTGGAACAAGAAAATCAGTGGTTCATTTTCTGATCCAATCCTTTATGCACCTGAGTAAAGTTGCTCATGGAAATAGACCTATTAATTTTTTAATTTTTTTTCAGGATGAAACTGTAAAATGATGTAACAAATCATAGTACCTGGTTTTTATTCTTCACACTATTCTCTTTTTGATGTTACTAAATTGTTTGAATACTCTGAAATGCTTTCGGAGTAGGTTAGGAAATGGTGTGTAATGTTTCTACCACCTTTAATAAAGCATGGTGGTCTGGTATACAGGCAGTCCCCGGGTTACATACAAGATAGGGACTGTAGGTTTGTTCTTAAGTTGAATCTGTATGTAAGTCGGAACTGGCGTCCAGATTCAGCCGCTGCTGAAACTGACCGCCAGTT